GTAATTGCAGCAGGGCTGGTTACCGACGTAGTAGATGAAGTTATAGAAATCTACTGGAGTAATTGCAGTAGGGGCTGGTTACTGATGTAGTAGATGAAGTTGTAGAAATCTACCGAAGTAATTTAGGCAGGGCTGGTTACTGACGTAGTAGTGGAAGTGGTAGCACAGCAGCGGAGCTTAATGCATACTTAGGCACAGTTATAATATTAGGGAAGAAATGAATTTCTTGTAAATAGAGGAACCAAAGATTGTTGTTGAAGACAAGACGTGCTGTTTAAATATTTGAATAAAACGAGCAATGTTGACATTAGGCAGTGTTCAACCGTCATTTCCCTCCACCGTCCTGACTCGAGGTGTTAAGTTAAACTACCTGGTTGCATATTTACACGTATATTTTAACCAACAAATCTGGGGATTCAATAAATTGATATATTGAAAGAGAAGTTTTTTCATAATATCTGGAACAATTACTCATATTAATGCTTACATGACTTATTTGAAAGAATAAAATTTCATGCCTCACTATAACGTGAAATGAAATTTTTAAAAATTAACGTCTACTGTACCAGTAGGCGAACAAAAACAAACCAGTAATGTTAAATTGAGCTCACCGTATTGCTAGTCAGTATTTTTTCCCTCAAACTGCATCACTACACCAAAGCAATTTATGCAAAAAATTATGTCTCATTCAAGAGACATTAACTGGCAGATTTTTCAGAAGCACATGTGGGGCATTACTGATACCCCATCAATAACGGTGCAGTGTTTGTGCGCGATTTTTGGTGACATAAGTTTTTCTACAGTCGAACAAAACTCATTGCTGTGATGTTGCTTCTGCTTCAGTGACGTCCGATGTTGTTCATAATGTTATTCAATAAGAATTGTAGTGCTTTCAAGGAAAATACAGGGAAATACCCGTACACTCAGCAGTCATTATTACACATTTTATACTGATTTTGGGGGACCAAAATGATGTAAGATTAGGGATAGCAGGAAGTCCCCATAACTAGGTCCTAATTTGCCTAACATTATCTCTTTAAGACAGGAAGGGCCTACCCACTTTTACAGGTGAACCGTATATGCTCACATAATTACGGTACATTTTACGAAAATTTTGAAATACATGTAACTTGGAATACCGCATGTGTAGGTACTTAAAGTATTAGAAAATCACTAGACAGCTGGGCTTTCTCCAGTATTGATGCTCCAAAACCAAGGTTATACATGTGTATTATCGGGTCTCTGTCCACTAGTCCATTGGGTAACATAACTTTTACTCAAACATGTACAAGATACCGTTACCCTTCTCGATTTCCTAGCAAGCATAAAGTCATTGAGCAATTCAAAAGTGAGATTCTCCTAACTTACTGGTATAGCATTTACAGTAACATGTGGTAACAGTGCAAGATTTCTCCAGAATTTTATTGGCAAACAGTTTTCATGCCAGCACTACCCAGCAGTGTGGAACACCATAAAAATATTCTGATGGATGTGGTGGACATAAAATTTCACTACTTTTTAGCGGTACATGCAACACAGCTTACAAGAATTCAGCTTGCAAGGACTACAAATTGTTAACAGGGCAAGAAGTATTGTTCATGTCTTAAATTTTGGTTAATCATGGCTGGAGATACTCCTAGACATGAGAAGCTACATGTACAGTATAATAGTGATTGTGTGTGTTACCGCAACTGATGTGGTTTGTTCATCAACAATCTGCCAATCGGTGCGACTGAATACTTGCGATCGAATTGAATGTTGAATAGTCGAATAGTGAATTATTTGAATTGTCTCAATCCTGACGTGTACGTGTGTTTACCCATCTTCACTCTGACATATGTAGTCCACATGCATACGTGTATGTACATGTATAATGTACCTGATTAAATTATGATGGTTGAAAGCCCCTTGAAAAACCTTTATACTTTATGCAGAGTGTGTCATCCGTCTGTTAATAAAAATTGAAGTGTAGAACACCTTCCATCCATCAGGGTACATTTTTAGTATGCCTGGTCATATGAAGCAAGTGACCTGGTACATGTACATGATGAGATAGAGAGAACCACCCCCCCTGCGTTGTGTTGGTCATTGTCTCACTGGAATCTGAGGAATTCTTTTCAGATACCATTATAGGGGGGAAGTGTTAGGTAACAACAGTCTAAAGTGTGTATAGCAATTGGACATGTGGGGGGGGGTATCCCTGGGCCTCATTTCTTGCTGGATATATGCCTGGGAGTGATTCATGTAGCTTCAGCCTACATGTAATAGACCTTCAGCATATTGACGTAATGCAGTGTTGACCGCTGTGCATTGTGAGTGAAAGGTGGAGATGTTGTAGGAATGCATCAACGTGACCCGTTAGGTGTAATGTACATGTATACTATATGGCGTGGGTATTCGGCCAAACAAGAGTGAACAAACTAGAACATGTACATGTACATTAAAACGAAAAAGACAAACATCAAACAACAAACCAAAAGAACCCACTTTAAGGTGGTCAGGATTAATAAAAGGGAAAATAAACCACTGTAGCTCGAAAGCCAATTAATCCATCCTTAAAGTGGAACAAAAAACATTAGAAACAGGTAGAAAACTGTAATTGCAAGAGAATCACGGGGAAAAAAAGCAGTACATGTATAAGAAGTATTGAAAAACAAAACCATGCATACGATGAGACTAGAATCCTTAATAGGTGGCCTAAAAATTGGGATATTGCATAAGGGAAAAGAAAATGTAGAGTGCATACAGAGGTCGGTCCACTTGGACTTCGCTTTGATGATGGCCTTATTTCTCATGGAAATCTGTCGCCTTTGGCGGTCCCATGGAAGTTTAAAAAATGCAGCTCTGGCGTTCGTTGAGTGCTTGATAAACACAATGGAACACAGCAGTTCACATGGACCATTTCGGACAATAATCGGGAATTTTTATATTTTTTCATGTCAGATACACATGCCATATAGTATGCGTTACTCATAACGGGTCATGTCTACGCGTTCCTGCAACATCCCCACCTTTCACCCATAATGCATCGCGGTAAACACTGCATTATGTCATTATGTTGTAGGTCTATTGTAGTCAAATGATACACTAAATGTACATGTAGCATATTAGTAGTAGGTTGATTCTAGTCGTGCCTTGTGTGTGTTTAATTCCATGGGTATGTAGTGCTTTCCCTTTCAAGCCTTGGGTGTTGGATTAGATTTGAAGCTTTTCATGGTGGAGGTAGCAAGTAAAGTAGTTTACGGTAGCACCATGGATATGCATGTAAGGTTCAGAAAAGAACCGTGCTACATGTATTCAACATTTCAGACAGTATGCTGTTTCCATCATCAGGAGACTGCCCCTGACGATGGACAGAGCATACTGTCCCAAATGTTGAGTACCACTGTTCAGTTCTTTTCAGAACCCCACATGCTCAAAAAGAGATGGTGCTATTGCAAACCTCTCTAGTTTACAAGCCTAGTGTGTGTTAATAATAACAACAGAAATTGGACATGTTGGAAGATTTAAGATTTTTAGGGGTGCATTTAACATTAATAGGCACTTACCGGGTAACATGCTAAGGGGAATTATTTGTCTGTCAGATTTTGATTTAATTTGATTTTCATAGATTCAAAATAATAAATGTACATGTACATGTACATGTACATCTATATGTGGTACATGCAAAGTATTCCTTTTTACTTTCATGCCTTCTATTTGAAATCTCATATTTGCATAGATTTCCTCCAGTACATGTATATTTTCAAAGATATGGACTGTTTCTTGTACATGTACATGTATGTACATGTGTGTATGTAAAAATGTACATGCAGCTGACTCGATAAATTAAGAACATGCAGTTTCAGTCAAGATGTGAAGTCTTTGTTCCGTATTTTCAAGAAAACTTGACAGGAATTCTGTATTTTTGAATGATTGTTGAATAATATAATGCATACATGTACTTGTACATGCATACTGTACATGTACCTGTATGTCCGTGTATACAAGACAACTTGCGTACATGTACGTGCGTACATGTACATGTACATTGTACACTTGCATTGCCATGACTACACATTGCCTAAAAACAAAGATTGTGTTTCTTGGTTTTTCTCAAAGCACTGTAATATGAAAGAAGTCAGTGAAATGGTAGTTGCAATAGATTTTAAACCCCATTTGGTCTAATTCATAACACTGCAGTATGAGCAAATAATGTCCATTATCTGCCCTGAGCTGAAGCACCCCCTCATCTGTTAAAAAGAGTCATGTTGGTCGGGAGTGTTCATTTTGTTGATAGCGATGAGACTGTGATGCTTGCATTTCATAGTTGTTTGTGAACCAGTGATCATGGTGATGTGCAGTTGCTACCAAAGGAGCCTCTGTTGCTAGGAGAATTGCGTCCTCTCTTGATCCGGCTTGGGGACCACACTACATGTACATGTTCGCGGTACCTTTGATGGCTAGAAGAGGGCTACTCTGTTATTTTGCATGTCTAGTGAAAGATTGCAGTGGAACAATTGTTTTTGGTACTGTACATGTACGTACATGTACATACATGTAGCATGTCACAGTTCAACACCACAACTTTCCACACCTGCTTACATCGGGTACATGTATGTGATGTACATGTACATGTACCCTCTGTACAGTGTACATGTACAGTGTGTACACAGCATGTATCCATAGAGCTACATGTACATGTATATATACGTGTACATTTATACACGTGCCTTTACATGTATGACGTGTGAATGATACATGTACATGTACATGTACATATACATGTACGTGTACATTGTAAGTCATTCATGTATGCAGCCTGACAAATGGAAGACATACAATGTAGTAGAAAATCTCCAATGTAGATACACATGTACATTGTATGATCTTGGCCAGTATATGGTCCTTTTTGTTGTGTCTGAATTTTTCTCTGTAGGTTTGTGATTCACTTACATGTACCCCTCTCATCATTTTTCACGATCAACATTTTATGTTAATATACCGGTACATGTCTGTTACATGTCAATATGTGTGTTTGTTTTTTTGTATGATAGATTGACTTGCTGTTCTTCACTGTTCTCTACATCTCTTCCTATCTGGTTATCTGTCGGTATAAGAGACAAGCAGATAAGGAAGACTATTTCTCAGGTGAGTTCATTAAAGTCAGGCCTTGCCTTTTCCTGTCCTTTGTTTTCATAGCTAAAAAGCTCAATTCACCAGGTGGTCTAGTATCCGTGGATATTGAACTAGAAATTAAAAAAAATTGGCAAGCTGTTTATTAGTCGTGGTATGAATTTATCTGGATTAATTACAATGTTTGAAGATTTGAAGTTGCTGAAACAGGTGGTATTGAATTATTCGTTGGAAGGACAGTACAGCTATTTAACAATTTAAAGACAGGTTCCCAAAATTTCACATTAGAAATGGTATAGCCCAGAGACCTTCTGGCTACCGGTACAACAATTAGTCACAACAAAAAAAAACTTTTGATCTACTCTGAAGCTTAGATTGTTATGATAGACATCCAACACTATCCTGGAAAACTTGGTTTGAAGAACTGCAGTGTGGCATTCTAGACGTTGCTACAGTAGTTCATGTCCAACAGTGTACACGTACATGTACATACATATACATGTACGTATACATATGTACATGCTGTATGTACATGTACGTGTAGTTTGCTCTAAAAGATGACAAGTGCCCGTTTTATTTTCTTATGCCTCTGTTGATTTTTGCAGCAGATGCATCTGATGCCATCGTGTACCGGGTTGCTTTGTGGAGTTGTACCTTTACTCTAGCCATCTCAGTTGGTGCTGGACTGCTGCTCCCATTCTCAATCCTCAGTAATGAAGTCCTTGTCTTCTATCCCAACAACTTCTACATGAGATGGCTGAATGGCTCACTGATTCATGGTATGCTTAAGTTCATAGGTGTCAGTGCAAATATTAGCTCATTTTTTTCAGGAGAATTCTTAAGGTGGTTTCAGCATCTTCACAGAGGGCTTTAAAAGTTTAGATATCCTCTCAAACTTTGATGTACATGTATCTACCCTGATTGTCAAGAATGTTCCACCTAACCTGTAGGTGTTGGCTTCAAGCATTTCCTACAGTGTACATATACCGGTATGAGCCAGGTACGTATTCTAACACTACATGCCTACAATGAAGTGCATCCAAGATCATTTGGATGCACATACAAGGTCTGTCCTATCAGCATGCTCCTACAATTGATGTAGACTCATGTGTGTGCTTTGTTCCTGAATTACTCTGTACTTTGGCTTTTAGTTTCTTCCAAAGGTCAATGTTTCCAAATACGAATGAAATTCCTTTTCTAATCACTCCCACTGCCAAATGTCTTTTCTTTCCGAAAACATTCCTCAGGTATGATAGAAGTAATATTTAGAAGAATTCAACAGACAGTTTGGCTTTTGCTGCCATTGGTAGTTTAATATTTTTCCAGCAGTTTCTATTACAAGGGCCTTTATTGCCATTCCAAGGACTGACTTAGGAGCTCAATTCCTTTACCTGACAGTTCTATTCAAAGTAAACCCTTGCTTTGTTCTGTTTGTGTTTCTGTCTCTAGGGCTTTGGAATCTGATATTCCTGTTTTCCAATCTCTCCTTGTTTGTGCTGATGCCCTTTGCCTACTTCCTGACTGAGTCTGAAGGTTTTGCAGGCTCTAAAAAGGTATGTTGAAATGAAATGACTGTAGAGGATCTTTATCAATGTTCCCATTTTATACATGTACATGTATGTAGGCTATTTGGTAAATGTATGCACTGCACCGGTCTATTTCACATACATACACTGACATATATATTTACATATTGGTACAAATGATTTGATTCATCATGATGCATTTCATGTTGACATACATGTACTGTACTTTTAAGATAATGATATTTGATATTTTCCAGCGTGTTAGAAGCCATTATGCTTTGTTCGTATATTGTGTTGGCCTTGTAGTGTACATGTGAATCACCATTCCATTCCATGAAAAATGATTTTCATAAGGGTGCACAGGCATAATGTACATACACACACATACAGTGTACATGCTTGTACTGTAAATGTATGGTTAATATTTATCTGTGTTATATAAATGTACATGTATTAATCAACGCAGCTCAGTTTGAATGCTGTAGCAGGGAGCAGTTGTTCGTAAGGTCCCAACAATACATGTACATGTACACAGATGAAGATGTTATTTATTTTATTTACATATATTTTCTTATTTTTTATCAGGGTAACCTATTCACAACAGGTGGTCTTCCAAAGGGCCCTGGGACAGAAAATTTAATACCTGTACAGAACTAAAGATATTCAAATCAGCAAACATTTCAAATCATAAAACAGTTAAAAAAGGAAAAACTCTAGTTAAATACATGACGAGGGACTAGGAGACTACATGTATACGTGGTTGTACAGTTGTATCAAAATACCAGGGTATTTGAATATAAACTGTCTGAAAAAATATTTAGAAATATACATTGTACACATTACCAGTACTAAGGTTGAATTACAATTAAAATGATCTCAGACAGGTTACATGTAATGTGCTTGTGAGCCGTGTGTGCCAACTGTAAGATGCTTTCAATTTACTGACATGGCAATATCCCTCATGCATTATCACATTTTCATATTTGTATGAGAAATGCAACGGCATGTAAGAGGAGAAAGTGTGTTACAGGTGCATTATACACCTGTATGTATGATGCATGTATGATAGCGATCACAAAAGTAAATGAATAAGAGAATGCATGAACAAGGTACATATGTACAGACATTCATGTACACTATAAGGTTCATGTAATAAACTACATTGAAATCTTACCGGTAGACTATGTACATAATTGCATGAGACCATCTCATTACGTTTTGGTTGAATTTTTTTTTTACTGAGCTGACTTTGTGTGTTCATACTTCATACATGTAGCAAGTACAATGAATGTGCTTTATAATATAAACCTACTGTAACAAAGTGTACACATGCCATTGTAGGAGTCTAGTAATCTTCACCGTGGTTGTTTTCCTTAACAAACCGCTGCAAGTATCCATAGCCATGGACATAGGTATCTGATTAACAAACTGCTGTAAGTATCCACAGCCATAGACAAAGTTGTCTGATTCAGCGTGGTTCCACTTCCAATTTTCTTTTCCTTTCATCTCAGGGCATTAAGGCTCGTGTGTATGAGACCTTTGTCGTTCTGATCATTCTTGGCCTGCTAGTCTTTGGCATGGTGTGGGTAGCATCAGCTATCATGGACAGTGATTCTTCCAGTCGAGAAACACTCTCAAGTACGTACAGTGTAGGTAGCTAGTGAGACTATTAGATCCATGCACAAGCTGTTGGGAGTGCTTTTGGATCCTACTAACAATCGCCATGGTTGGGCAGTGTTGCAACAGGTTTCAAACAAAGGCATTGTGGAAGTGCATATTAACATTGGTTGTTGTGATATTCATCAGCTTGGATGTTTGGTCTGTTAATTTTCTCCCCTGAAGATTTCTGTAAAATTTGACTAAATACATGTATGTAGGGTTGATATTTTGGAGGGGAAGTTTAGCTGTGGTATACCTCAGTGACGAAGAGGACTTTTCTTTCTGTCTGAACCATTTTTTTGGTTGAGCATTTCCTTATCTGACCTTTGTTTTCCCTGTTTGCTTTCTAGGAGTGTGGTCCTATCTTCCATATCTGTACACATGCATCTCTCTGCTGGGTGTTCTCATGTTACTGAGTAAGTTAGGGAAAGAATTGAAGTTGATCTGATCAATTTAGAAGTTGTTTGAAATGTGTAAGGACTTAATTGCTTGGTACTGTACCAGTACGTATTTATGGACAGGCTAAATTGTATTTAGAAACAGTATGGAATCATGAGAATATGTGGGAAACCAAGTTTGAAAACTGAATAAGATAAAGTTCTTTACAAAACCTATGTCAGTTATGTTGAAACTGTAATCATGTATTTTCCTCCTTTAAGAATGAATTTGTTTTGAATAAACTGATTGTGATAAATCAGTGTGCTCTAATGTGCTCTTGTAGCCTGTTAAATTAATGTGGGAATTCAGAAATAAATTCTTTTGTTTGTTGTTTTTACCATCTGTTGTCTGTTCTCCATTGATAGTATCTACACCACTGGGCTTCACCAGGATGTTTTCAGTGATTGGTCAGCTTGTCGTCAAACCACAGTTTATGGAGAATCTAGAGGAGGAATATCATCTAGCCAAGTTTGAGGAGGATGATTTGTTGAGAAAGATGCAAGGTCAGTGAGAATAAAAAGACCTGATTCAAAATCTTATGGTTGGTTCTTTCGCCTTAATCTGTGGAAAAGGATTGCAGTGTTTAGAGTTTACTCAGGTTTTGAAATCAATCCTGAAAAATTCAGCGTGAAATTTTGACCTAAGAAAACCTGTGTAGATAAACTTTAAAGCTTCATGTTTGTCATTCACTTAGTTTTTGAGAGTTTCAGTATTTTTGTTTTCGTTGTAAAAATACACCAGAAAGTCCCATTATTCATTTGTTATGGCAACATTATTTCATTCAGGAAAATGACTGCCAACTTACTAATTAGTAATGTATTAATGTTTTTGTCTTTAATCAATATTTTTAGGGTACATATACAGGAAGAATGAATGCATTTAATTAAACATTGATTTATTCTGTAGGCTCAGAGTCCAGTGCTGTGTACTCCATTGAACATACAAATGGACAGACTGAATTGAGGCAGCGACTGGCCGAAGTGCAGCGAGACCGCAAGGTACTAGACAGGAGGCGGAAGGCATCTTCATGGCAACGTAACCTTGGTTACCCCTTGCTCTGGATTCTTCTCTTTGCCTTGACAGTCTTGTCGCTCTGTGTTGTAGGCTGGAACATATTCCGTCTGCTGTTTGGAATTGGCTTTTTCTCTGTTAGCATCAAGGTGAGATTTTATGAATGATAACTTCCACAAATCCACCGAAAGCTATTTCACAGGTTTTAGAAAATTGAGATTTGCATAGTCAGATTGTCACTATTACTGATCATTAGGGTTGCTGGCATGGTATTGCATGGTCTGACAGTGGGATAAAAAAGTTCTACATGAGCAATTCCATCAAAGTGATTTTTTTTTTTGATTTTTTTTAAATCTTAGGAAGCTGGTCTGGGGAAAGTGTCTCTGTCAATGCTGGGGTCGTTTGGAGCTCTCATCGAGGTCACACTGATCTGGTATCCTTTAACAATCAGACAAGAATGTATTGTGCAACATTTTAAGACTACCATCTGATGATTAGAAACAAGATTTTAATATTCTAGTAGCAGAAGCTTGAGAAGTGTGAGTTTGTATCGGGGAAAGGATTGGAGTCATGGACTTTGGTACTTGGCTTTATTCACATGTCGGCCATCTTGAATTGAAAATAAAAAGATCCCTGTAAAAATTGTAAAAAACAAAAATGTGTGAGAATGAAAATGATGCAACAGGCCAAGAGTATATAGATTTCCATTCTCAGTCCCATTGCAGTGGGGAGTTTGAAATTATTGATATAAAGTAATTTCACCTTTACTGTCCAAATTAAAGATTTTCTAAAATGAGGTTGTAATTGTGATTATATCGGTACCAAAATAGTCAGGCACCTCCCTATTTCAGAGGGTGCCCAAAATGTAGTGGAGTTTGGGATCCAAAATGAACCAAAATGGCTGTCTCATGAATAAAGCTCATTAGAGGAGGTTTTATCCCATCAGAACATTCTAAGTATTCCAAGTTGACAGACACATCCTAAATACATGTAGCTAGCCATCCCAGCCAAACATTGTTTGCACCTTAACTAACCAACCTGTCAGCTATCTGATGCTAGCATCCGTTGTAGGCTTCTACACTGTTCCATTCTTCCGATCACTAGTCCCTCGGGTAAAGGACACCCCTATGACCAAAGTCATCGCTAACTGTCTAGTCATATTGATTCTGAGCTCAGCGCTACCACTGCTGTCTAGAACACTGGGTAAGTGTCAACTCTTGTAATGGTTTGTGTACACCAGAGACCTAAGCATCAGCTAGAGCTTTGAAGCTGCATGTCAGAAAATGTGTTCTTGGACACATCACTGACCTAAATATTGGCTTGTCTAATGATACAGAGTTTGACACCAGAAGTTGAGAGAATGTTTTGAAACGCTGCTGTTTGTGGTAGTTTTCAGTGCTAGAAAATGATGTTGGCCTTATAAATGCAGAGTGGATTAATCTGCAAGTTAAATACTGTTATACATGGATTTGTGTAATGGTTTTGGACAGGTGTCACAAGCTATGATCTGATTGGTGAGTTTGGCCGTTCTGATTGGCTTCAGAACTTCTATCTTGTGATTGGCTACAATCTACTGTTCAGCATTCTGACGTCATCCTGCCTGCTGAACAAGTTCACATCCACTGTCCGTGTTTACATCCAGCATAGTGTGGCACAGTATGTCCACAATGTACGAGAAGCCAACCACTTCAGGACCTCGTCGTTTTGGTCACAGAAATCACAGAATGGAAACACAGCACATGTTAAAGGGACCAATGGGGTCACAGCGGTGGATACTGGTGCTATGAACGGTGGGCTAAGTACTAAAAGTGAATAAGGTATGGTTTGATGTGGTATTGTAGTCATGGTATCTGTTCACTCCTTTGGCTTGTTAAAGTACTAGTGTTATTATTATTCACAATGAACCAACTTAACCTCCTCAAGTCAACGCAGCATGCAATATTTGTACTTTTATGCCACATTTTCCAATCTGCACATGTTTATTAAGAGTTGGGTAATACAGTCTTGCTTGCCATTGAGAACTGTATGCAGTGCTCTTTATATCAATTGAAATTAGGCGTCCTGTTCCTGGTATCTACAAGAACCTGTATCTACAGCTAAAGGCCACAGTATAACAGAAGTACCAGCTGTGTATCATGCAATGTGCTTCTGAACCTTCATATCAAGAGAGGATAAGCCTTAAATGCGGATTACACTGAAAAGCAATAATGATATTTCCAGCACATGCTGCATGCTTGATTGGGTAGAAAGGTTGAAGTAAGGTAGGTCTAT